TCTTGATCTAATCGCCTCAGGGAGTTTCGGCTTGTTTTCATTACAAATTCAAGCACTTTCTTTACAGTTCGCGTTCCGTCCTATGTTTGGGCACAGACTTGCTCTTCAAGGGAACTTTTAATCCATACTCCACCCCGAAGTAACGCCAGTGAGTCTGTACAGGTTTGCTATGCACTGATTCTGAGAGTCTTGTTATCATTTATTCGTATTGCTGATTCTTCCAATACCTCATCCCTTTAGATTTTCCTTGACCTCGGCCAAAAACCCAACTTACCAGGGTCATGAACCCTCAGTAGTGGCTTTCAGTTTTAGTTCAAATTGACCGGCAGGGTCACTGCACCTACACCGTCTCACCGAATCCGTTGTTCTGGTTTCGAATTTCCCACGATTTGTAGTTTTCTCATCACATGTCAGGCAAAACACCTCCAGTCTTGCCCTTCGTCGTCGTGTTTTCTGTCGTCACCTTCAAATTTAACCGGTCTTATCTCACCTCAACTTTGTATTGTCTCCAGGAAATAGATAAACCATGATAACTGTGTTTCCATACCCTCGATGTGCACCTCACTTGGGTCTTTACATTTTAAGCTTGACCGCCTCTACGTTTGACAGTGTTCAATGTTTGTGCGACGAACTCTCTTCCACACAACCTGCAAATCCAATTAGTCACGCTTTCACCATGCCCACTGTATGCCACCCTCCAGCTGGAAACAACTGTTATTGTTATCAAATTACTGAGCAGCCAGCCACACATTCCAGGGTTGACCACGGGGCGCTGTCAACCATCCCACCCACTAGTTGGGAACAAATATTATTATTATTGTTATCATTATTATTAACCCTTTCTCGGATGCAAAAGAAGTGAAAGGTCAAGAAATACTCTTGAAAACGAAGCTACAGACTTTTCTTGATTGAAATTTCAGGGCAGGTTCTGTGATAACAATGCTACTTGCTGACTGTGGACACGGGGTGGACGTTTTGATTCCTCACTGCCCGGGGCTGCTTTGGGCTTCATGCATTTTGTAGTAAAAATCACGCCCAGCTGTATGAGCTTCGATGGCACAGTTACTTTACCGGCAAGCCACCCTGTATAGTTCACTGCTTCCACCTCTGTCCTCCTAACCCTTACCGCATTTCCCTAGCCTTTTTGTTCGGTGGATTCTTTTAAACTGTTCCACCACCACTAAAAGCGCTCGAAAAACGCACAAAAGTCCTTAAAGACAACAGTCCTCCAGTAAGCTTCCACCTCTGGTCACAGATAAGATATCTTGCCTTTTTTGGCGTTTGAGGCAGAAAAGCTAGTATGCCGAAAACTTGTGAGACCATTTATAATCCAAAGTAGTAAATGGAAGGAACCTGATAATGAGGCGTGGTTCAGTAGTCTAGAGACAAGTTTGAAGGGAGGCAGCCAACATCTTAAAAAAGCTAGAGAGGACAAGCGAATTGCACTGTTTGTAAATTCATTTTAGAGTAGAAGAAATATGGAGAATGATGGTCGTAGGGTGAGTACATCTATCCGTTTTCGGTTGAGATCCCTCCCTCTGGTGCAAGGTGAGGAAGACTATATATTGCAGTGCGCAGCTACCTTAAACCCAAGACTTTGAACACGTGACCTTCCTGTTGGTGCTTACAACATTTGACCTTTCACCCCAGAGAAGCTGATCAGCATTTTTTGTCTTTGATTTAAGGATGGCTGAAATCGTGTCCTGTTTGAATGCAAATTAATTACACTGATGGTCGGTTGCACTTGATCAAACGTTTAGGTTTCACACCTGTTGACCTAAAGGTCTCGGATTTGAAGGCCTTTTTAGTGGATGTAATGTACGCACTTATTCAAATTCTTTTTCATCATATGTTCAGATTTCGGTCCCAGCTTTTCGTGCTACCGACGTTCAACCGTTGTAAACAATAATTCATCCGATCAAAAAACAACCTCACCGAGTTTTCGGATCCCCGAATGACGATGCAACCCCTTCCCTTCCTTGTCTTTGAGGGTTAGCCGTGAGTAACTGTTTTGAGAGGGTTGGGAAGACGAAAGCAGGATTTGCGGTAACATTGAGGGCAAGTGAGTCCGCGAGGCCGAGGAAACGGAAGTAGCGCGATGCTCAGGGATTGTGCAAACGATGTACCCTTACAACATCAACACCATGTAAGCAGCTCACATTACAAATAAAATGCACCAGATAGGTAAAACTTTCTCTTAAGAACTGGATACTCGGGGGGCGGGGAAGAATTTTGAGCCATGTGAGGTGTAACTGCTGACTGAAGTTTACCGGGACGTAATTCCTTCTGAGTGAAAGTAAATCACACTGCTGACGAGCCGATTGTAATAACGGTTATGCGCTCGGTCTGATCGTCTCACGCTGGCGTCTTCAGAAAAAGGCATTTCAAAGAAAAGTTAAATTTATTAAAGACCCAGTACCCAGAGATCTCGATGGACGGTTACTTTATTTTTCGAGCCAGCACAATGCGAAAGGGCTGGTAGGATCGCTTTATATTTACATGCCCATCATGATTGTACTCCCTGATACCACACCTGTACCTTCGTGCGATGGACTGTGGATTCACATCATGCCGCGCGAGACCGATTTACTTCTTCTTGTCGTGATCCACCGTTACTTTTCGAGTTCTCCGAAAGATGGTTGTTCCATGTACAAACACTTGGGCAAATGTACTCTAGATACCACTTCACACATCTCTTGATGGTAGGTGGATTAACGCGACGGATGCCTCATGTTTGAAGCTCTGACGAATTGGATCTGGTGAACATTTTGCAGGCACGCTGAACTGAGTAGTTAAAAACAGCGATTGGACTCAACATGTCGTTGCACACACCAGATACCGCGCAAGTTAACTACCATCTCTATGGAGTTGGTTATCACCAACGGGACACTGCTTTGATCGGGTGATAATTTACGCTCCACTGGGACATAGCGACCGCTGTGTGCTGACCTTCGATTTCATCTGCTATTAGGCCAGAATTCCCAAGCCTCAAAAGCGGGTTCAAAACTTTTGCTGTACAGGCATTCAAAGTGCGTATCTTTCTTGAACAAGTTAAACTGGGATCAGTTTCAGTGGAAGACATATTTAGGACCACTGACCAGAAAGTTCACTAGGCTGATGCGACGTTCGTCCCAAAAAACCAACACGTACTCAGATGAGCCACAAGCTACCTAAAAGGATTAGGTGCATTCTGGAAAAGAAGTCTCAAATATTTTTCAAAAATTTGACTAACTAGCATTACTTGAAATGCGGAACCGCTGTAAATCAGAGATCCGTCAACGGAGCATACAAAAACAAGCCACCATTCTGGACTTCGCCCGAAAAATATAAATCTGCTGTTCAAATACGTAATATGGCGCCGCAGCAACAAGACAACCGCGTTCTCCATGATGGACAGGAACGAGTAACCCACGAGTGACCCAACAGTGGTATCTGAAGTCTACACAGAAGGCAATGCAGGTCTATATTCAGCCCCCACGTCCTTGTCACCTTCAATCTTGTCAAGACGTACCTACAACCGGCCTCTAACCGACTTGATCATCACGGTTGAGGACATTCGTCAACTCTTGCACAAGATCAACCCATTCTGCGCGCTGAGGCCCGATGAGGTCCAGCCAAGGATCCTGAGGGAAACGTCGTTTACACTGGCAAATCATTTATACCTGTTGTTTCATCAGTCGCTTGACGAAGGCCACCTACACTCCGCTTGGAATGAAGCGACTGTCATACCAATCCGCAAAACTGGTGAGTGATTATCGCCTCTCAGCTACAGGCACGTAAGCGCCACTATCGTGCCATGCAAGGTGGTGGAACGCATTCTGAAGCGAGCTATCCAAGATTGCCTTACTTCCAGCAACTTGATATCGCCAGCTCGACACGGATTCCCCCAAAACGTTCTTGCATGACGAACACGCTCGTATTTACGGATATCTTGACCCAAGCCTTGAACGAAGGACTAATATTGGGTGCCATGTTTTTCGACTTCTCCAAAGCAATTTATCGGGTCCCACAAGTCCCGCTGCCCCACAAACTTTGGTCTTATGGGATTTAGGAGGATCAAGGCGTTCCCATCAGACAGATTATTCCGGTAGAAAATAGGCTCGACCTGCTCTTCTCTAGCACCAGTCTCCACCGGCGTTCCTCAAGGCTCCGTTTTCGGAGCACTGCTGTTTCTGATATACGTCGACGGCCTTCCAGATGTTCTTGCAAGTTCGCGCCTGCTTTTTGCGGACGACTTGAAATCCTTGAGTTCCAATGCCAATGTCCTACAAATCGATGTAGACGCTGCACAGCATTAATCGTTGGACTGGCACCTTACTCTGAATGACAAAAAGCGCATCCATATGTGATATGGAGGAGGCTTAGCGAACAGTTCTGTCATACTGTGTGAGGAAGGACTTGAAGATATCACGAGGATAGACGTCAAAATGGACTTACGTATTTAACTCTCTGCAAACATAGCTTCACTGCACCATGAGAAATCGGCCCAAAAGGCAATCGCCGTTCTACGGATGACCCGGCGCACCCTTCCCGTATCGCTCGCACAGAACTCCAAATAATCTGTGGGGCCTACGTCAGACCACTCCTTGAATATGCCAACAAAGTTTTCTGTTCACCACGCACGTAAGTCGTAAACCTCATTGAGCCCGTTCAGTGAGGTGCTACGAAAATGTATGGCGGCCTGAAATCCGTGGACTACGAAACGCGTCTCGCGGTGCTTGACTTCTCCCCCATGAAGTATGCTCGCCTCCTAGGGGACCTAGTTCTTACCTATACCAAGGATTGGCCAATGGGTTTTCACCATTGACCCAGCAAACACACGGCAGCGGCATGATAAAAAGATATTCAAGCTCAGAGGGCACACTTTATCTAGGCGAAAATTCTCTCATTTAGGGTAGTAACTGCTTGGAATAACCTTCCGCCGACGGTTGTCCACGCTGCTTCCAGAACCCAGTTCAAAGCACTTCTGGCGTCCGGCAGCGGTAGCCCTCTAACTTCAGCCCAATGTGGTGAACCCTGCCAGCAGCCTGCTACGTTTCACCAGCGGCCTGAAATCTTCAGGTTGCGGTCGCTGGTTCATGCGGATCGTTCTGCTGCTATCCGGAAGGACCAGGAGGGGGGCCAGCAGAAGAGATGCCGCAACAGTCACACAGAGGCCAGACACTGATTCGAGGATATGGGGAATATTCTCTACAGTGGATGCAGGGTCGCATATGGTATACACGAGGCCAAAATACGATCACAGGAAACTAAAGTAAGACAACAGGGTACAGCTCCGTAAGGCCACCACGTCGCATTGGACACCGGACAGCCTTGACATGCCTCCGAAGTGGAGGGTACCAGATCCCAGATCAGCATGTCTGTAGCCCCAGGGACGGACCGAATACGACAGCACCTCCATAAGTCGTCACAGTGGGGACCAAAACAACAGTCGGTTGAACGGTCTCCTCAAGCGGGAGGTGTCCGGAGACCAGCCGTCCCTAATCGAACATCACATCATCTGGAGGGGTGTTGCCTGCAGGACACAGACCAAAAGAAGCCATGCCCTGATTGGTCAGAATACCGGCCAATCCGGATCGAGCATCTTTGACTTGACGCTTCGCGCCCCCTCACGGAAATTCTAGCACGACCTTGTGGAATACTCTATTGTTTTCACCCTATAAGTACGGTTGTAATAATTTCCTTTGTCTCCAGGAAGGGCTGTGTAGAGCTACCGTGCCTTTTGATATACCATAGTGGGCGGAGCAGAAAGGGACCAATACAGAGTTGCACTACCCTCAGCAAGACACAACACATTTATGCTAGTCTTCGCGCTGACAAGCTTACTGCCCCGCGTTGGGAACTTGGAGAGCAGTCCTACATCCTTTTTTCACTCGTGCCTTTCAGACGAACGACAGCCACTGAACGACAAGTATAAAATCGACACGGGAAACTAGGGCGAAATCCTCGATCATGTGTATCAATCCGTGAATCCTTGACTCCTGCCAAGTTGAAGCAGTTGTACGTTGCTTGTAAGCTTTTCAGTATTTATTGGCTTCGATTAAAGAGGGGATTTCCATTCTAGCTGGTAAACAGGCCAAAAAAATGATGAGCAAAGTAATCAGTGAAAAATGGATCGATCATATTTAAGGAGTAACTTCTGAATTGTTGGGATCAACACTCAAGAGTAAATCGGCTGGCTAGCTGATATTGATTGTTCAGGTTGCATACTACCCTGGAACTTGACTTCGTACCTCAAAAGTGTTCCGAAGACACGTAAATACTTTTTCTTCCTCAAGCGCCACCGAACTCGCACCCTCTTTTGTGGGTTAAGGTTGTATTCTCAGTCGGCGTTTGTCGAACTTAATTTCCTCAATCCGATGAAAGAGACCGTCACAGGCTAATGGGGTGGCTGTTTTCGAGAGTACTGTTCCTAATTAATATAAAAGGATTACTAAAAACTCTTCGACAGCCCACGACCGGTTCCGCCCATTCTGGGGCTCATCATGTAGGCGCAGTCCCCGAGTTTCCCTCATACTTATGTTTTATTCGGACCCAAATTGGACTGTTTTCGAGAAATGAAATTTCAACTTAGTTTGGTTTTCACGAAAGACTCAACTGAATATGCAGCACATTCAGTTGTACGGTATCATAAACGAGATATTCAGCTGATTTGCAAATGAATGCATTTCTCGATAAGAGGGTTGGATTCACCATCATCATCATCATTGTCAGCTGTAAGAACCGCGTACTGGTCGTACACTGGTTGTAGCTGCCACAGTTTCGTTCACCGATGATGGGGGGGGGTAGGTAGCTGCGCACTGCACGCGCGAGCTGGTAAATTGGTGCATAAATCTAGCACTGTCAGTGGGTTGTCAAGCGGGGAGGGGTGGAAAAGGAGCTATGCATTGAAGGCAATAGCTTTGATGCATGAGCGCCATTGAGGGCGCGACTGGGCCATGTCTGATAATGTCTCTAGCCATTGATGTGGCCCGTCTCGGGGTCCCCATCCAGGAAGACGGCAGTGACCAGCGCAGCTGAGTTTGCTGGTAATGGC